TTTTCCATGTTCACATGTAGGGAGTTGTCACTTCCACAGCTGAGCTCTCAGCCTTTATCATAAAGTGGTTGGTTTTTTCCTTTCAGTCTTATTGCCTGATAATTCAGTGTGGAGACTGATAATCCATGGGGCACTATTTTGGCATAATGAGAACTCTGTTTTATTATTTTGCTAATAATTCTTTAAGATATGACTTTTGAGTGTGGATTTGGTGGTTTTGGAATTACATTATCTTTTTTTTTAAAATAATAGTAATTTTTGAGCTCTTTTTAAAAATGTAGAGTTAAGGTCCTGCAGGAGCCTGTCACAGCCTCTGATGTGAAGAGCTGCACACCTCCTGCAGGATCACCCTGGTTCTGCCAGTGGAAGATGGTGTCTCATGTCATCCTCCAGCTACTTGTTTCTGTCTCTTCTTTTGAGAAAACTCAGTCACTTGCATTGGTGTACTGGGTAGCAGAGCTACTCCAAATGTATAACCAAGGCCTCCCCTGGCAAATGTGTTTTATAAAACACCAAAAAAACCTCCACATAAATAACAACAACAAAACCTCTGTTTGCTGGACCAGCTTTCCATCTCTGCTGACACAAAAGTCACAGGAGATGGAGAAGTTTGGGACTGTGTCTGTTGGTGGAATACTGGCCTGTACTGACTTAGAGCATTTGTGCAGTTGACTTAAAAGTATCTCTGTAGTTGAGGGTTTAATGTGCTGAATATTGACTCCTTAGTTAATCAGCAAGCCTTGAATTTAAAGTGCTGCAAGTTGTCAAAGTCTTGAGCAGAAGAACTGCTGAAGGAAGTGGTGCAGGAGCCTACAGCAAGCTGTGCAGCAGCAGACTTCCCAGTGCCATCCTGAGCAGGTCAAAGTAGCTGAAGAACAATGTGCCCCTGCTTCCAAACTGTCTTCCAAAACCCCTTTCAAAGTGATTTTTAAAAAGTGAATCTGACAGGCTTGGCAATTAGGAACCATCCTGATGACCGTGGTAAATCTTTCTCTTCAGTATTCAGCTGGTGATTGGTTTGCAGAGCTACAAGCCAATAATTGTGTCAGTAGTTTCCCTCTTTGCAGAGGGTTATCATCAGTCTGTGTAATATTTTTGAACACACCAATAGTACTAGTTACTGCCTTAACACAGAAAGTACCATCATCTTTATGGTTAAAATTTAAAGACTGAAGCAAAAGTTGAAGTTGCTGGAATCCCTGAATCATCTCTAAATTTGTTTCACTTTTTAATTTAGCTTGACTTTGTTGCTGCAGTTTTTAAAAGCAGCTGTCACCCCAGAGATCAAATTGTGCCTGTCAACTGATTATCTTCCTGTGACTTCAAAGAATCAGGGTTTTCATGATTTCTGTGTGTGTCAGTGTGCTCTTGTCACTTCCTCCACAGTTTATGGCTTTCTGAGCCTGTTGGAGGAAGAAAAACCCATCAAAATATCACCCTCAAATCACAAGTACTAATTAACAGTCACTGTTTCTTTTCTGCCCTTTTTTTCCCCCCTTTCTACATACCACAAGTTTAGATAAAAGGAGATCCTCACAAAGCTTGATGACAGTATTACTTGATTTTAAATGCTGAAGATACAGGACTTGTCTTAAACGTGCATTTCCTCTGGGGAGTTAAAAGCAGATCTGACAGTATCTTGAATTAAACTGTTAACACTGAAGTGGTTAATGTTTTTCTTTACAAATTTTGTAAGAACAAACCCTAATAGGATGACAATTTATATAAAACACATCATATGTCTGAAATTAAAACATGGTCCTTAATCTTAATGTTTTTTTTTTTCATGGTAAATACTATTTAAATTTAGCCTGAAATATATTTTGTGTTGGCAGGCCTCAATTATTTCAGAAATCTGAATACTAATTTTCCTGTGAAGCTTCTGAAAATACAATTTCAGCTCTCTGGGTGTGCAGTTCTGTCATGGGAAAGAGGAGAGGAAATGGCTCACACCATTCCAAAGTGGTCAATTCTAAACTGGCTTGGCTTTGCCTTGCAAAATCACAGCCACCTCTTAGCATGCTGTGAAGAACACTTCTTAACATCATGTATTGTATTGAGGGATTCAGTAATTTATGTAAAAAATAAATCACAAAAGCAGAGTAACCCAAGGGAGCTTGACTTTGAGATAGACACACAGTTTACTGTTAAACAGTGCATTAAAATTTGTTGTGGAGAAAGAAATAAAAGCTGAAATTGATTAGGAAATTATTATAGAAACATAAAGCAAGAGAACACAAATACAAAATCCATTTTTAAAATACTGTGACCTGCTAATTAGCACTACTGAGAATAAAGCTGCTCAGGGACTTCCTCTCTAGTCAGCAGATACACCCAAACCCCAGGGTAGCTGTTGTCCCTATTTAAGGATTTAGGTCTTTTGTTTAATCTGTTCATGGAAACCAAAGTCCAGTTAAACATGTTGTTGGGACAGAGCTGATGTAAAGATCAGGAAGCTGGGAAGCCAGCACCCACGTGTCCCCTAGTTTCACCATAGCCAAATAAGATTAGCCAACAAGAGATTCTGCCTGGTTTCTCCATAAAAGGAGTTTTCGGACTGGGAAAAAAATCCCTGGAGGTGCTTCAGATGGAGGTGTTGCTGCAAGGGAGCCTCCTGCAGAGTCTCACTTAACAACAGGCCCACCTAATTCCTGGAGTTGTAGTGCTGGAGAGGTGCAGTTGGCCCCAAGCAGTGTGAGGGGAGACCAAGTCAAATCAGTCTTAGTCTTTATTCTGATGACAGTGGCTGTTTGACCCTGAGAAACTTTAGGCCTTAATTGATTTCTTCCTTCTCTCACTAATAAAATGGGGCTTCTCTAGCCATGGCAGGGGAGTCTCCAATAAAAAGCAGCATTTTATGTAATTAGTAAAACTTATTCTGTGGCTGCATCTAGTGACACTAATCATGTACTGAGCATTAGGGTAAAAACTGCACAACTCCCCCCCTGTGAAAGGAGTGTCTTGGAGGTGACCTGTTGACCTGCAGTGCTGCTTAAAAACTTTAAAAAAGCAGTGTAAAACTTGTGAAAGGTGGTGTGAGTACTGTCACTTCAGAAACAAGTTCCTGATAAACACTCCTGTTGGATGAATCTGAACCCCAGTGTTGAAGCTCTTTGGTGCCCATCACTGAAATGACTGTTAATTGTCTGGTTAATGATATTTTATTTTGCTCATTGGAGTGGGAGGCTGATTGTTGAACACCAAATATTAGGACCTTTTCCTGCTTGTGCAGGAAACATCTCTGCAGTCAGGGAAGGCAGGGTGACCATGGTTTGCCCTAGGATGTGCAGAGACTCAGTGCTCTCTCCCACCCCACCATTCCTGGTGCTGCTGCTCTGTTGCTGGGGCCAGCTGCATGGCAACAACTTAAATATCTTACCACACTTTTAGCCACAGTGTCAGTGAGTGTTTGGGAGAGCCCAAAAAGATGAATTGGACTCATTGTGTCTTGCCACTTGGTATAGACATCTATCAGGAGATGTTTCTACACAAAGAATGTCCTTTTGTGAGCTGTAGTTGATGGGAACCAGCAGTGGGTTTCATCAGTTCCTGTGGGGTGAAGTTTCAGGTGGCAGCCAGCTGATGGGCAGGTTGTTGTCAGTGTGTGCAGGACATCTCATACTCCCCATTTCCTGCTCTCTCCCACTTTGCTCCCAACCTACGTGGGGTTGCTGCCCTGTCTTTTCTTAATGCTGCTTCTGGCTCTGCTTGTGAAGCTGGCTTAAATCTGGTTTTGCTTTTTCTGTCAACTTTCTGCTGATTTAATGCATCCAATTGACTTCTGTGCAGATTGGCTGACTGTAAAGGCTGGCAAGTAGAGGAGGAGGAGTGGAAATTACACAAAAGGACTTAGCAATATGGTTTATGGTAGGTTAATAGTTGGACTCAATGATCTTGAAGGTGTTTTCCAACCTAAACAATTCTAGAAACCTCTGATTCTATAGGTAACAAGCTGCTGTGTCCCCTCACCTTATCTAGTGAGATCATATTCTGTGCAGTGAAAATTGGAGCAGAGTTGAGAGAGGACCTGGACCTGCTGGAGGAATCCCTGTGTGGTTCTGAGGCAGCAACTGATGGGTTTCTGTAACTGCTGGAGCAGATCCACTGTTACCAAAAATAAGAACTTAAAAATTACACCATGTGTAAAATAGTAAATCTCAAGTCACTCTCATCCTGTTGCTCTGAATTTTTGGTTGATGGGCTTCAGAAGAAAGGTGTTCTTTATTTTAGAAATAAGGCTAAGTGAGGAAATCTTAGTGCTAGTTTTAATTTCATAAATCTAGTCTGCTCTAGTTTTCCTAGGCTTTTCCTTGCTTCTTTAGCCAGATGATGCAGCTTTCTTTACATGTGTGCACACGTGTAAAACTGTAGCTACAATTTTTCCTGTTGTAGCTACAGCTTTGCCATCTGTGCCATCACACCTCAGTGTTAGTGTGTTTAGAGCTTCAAAGAGACCTTGGGCAGTGGGGTGATGCACTGTGTACAGAGTGTTGAGCTGATTGGTGTTACTGCTGTCTTTTGTGGGGTCATTTGGAGGAAAATGCTGAATGCCCACTTCATTCCCTCTCTTATGAACACAGCTTTGCCCCAGGAAGGCAGATGCTTGCTAATCAAACATTCTGTTGCTCCTGGGGCTCTGATGCTGCACTGAATGGTGCTCAAGGATGAGTCTCCTGTTTGAAGGAAAAGAGAAGCCAGCAACCCTGTGTTTTCAAAATTCAATTCCACTGCCTAAATACATTCCCCTGCAGCCTTGCTGTCTCAGCACAGTTCTGCTCTGTGCCTGACACACACCAGTATCTAATGGACTGCTGGGGAAACAGAAGAAGATGTTTGCTGTATTTAATGGTTAAAATTGATCTGGCAAAATAGGAGTGTTCTGAGGTAGTTTAAAGCATTAATCTGTTTAGAGTCATGTTTTGTTTATAGGGAAGGGACAAAATCCCCCCAGTGTGGTTGCCTGTTGTCAGTAAGATGTCCTGTTGCTGCTCTTCTTCCAGGGGTCACCTCTCTTTGAACTTATCAAGCAGTCAAAGGAACGAGAGAGCCAAAGTGACCAGCCTGAGCCCACTGCCACTCTGAACCTGCCTCTCCAGCACAACCACACTGCAGCAGACCTGTGAGTGACCTGCTTACTGCAGGCCTAGTGCAATGAGAAGTTAACATTGACATTCATGTTTAGATCCACCTGTATTCTGTTCTCCTGCTTGTTGGGCCTGGTACTGGGCTTGTGTTGAGCTGTTGTATTTGCTGCTGCTTATCGTGCATGTAAATGTTGTGGAGTCAAATTCTGAAGTAATTTTTTCCTAAGCCCCATCAAACTTGTAATTACTAACTGTTGCCTTACTTGCCCAGCAATAAATAAGTCCCTTTATCAAGTATTTAATCAATAACTTGAATTTTTAATTCCTGGTATGGGAATAACAGGTCACAGTAGCAGTTATTTTCTTTTGGTGGAGGAGGAGGGAAGAGTTCCTGCAAGTATCATTCATATAAAATTGTTCATTTATACTGTGATGTTAAGTGCTTCATGTATGTTGACTCTCCAGCTACCTTTCTCCTGTGAGATCTCCTAAGAAGAAAGCTTCTGGACCTTCTCCAAGTGCAAATCCCTCTCCAGATGCTCAGCCATCTGCAACCTCCCAAACACAGAAACCACCAAAGTCTACCTCCCTCTCCCTCTTCTACAAAAAAGGTTGGTGGACTCTGTCTGGAAACTGCAAAGTGATCTCTTATTTAGCCTTTTTGGGGTTTGGAACTAAACATTTCTTACAGGTTTATAACAGAACCTGTAGTAACCACCCTGCAGACCCTCAGCAGCCTCTGGAGGAGGCAGTGGATGGTGCCAGCAGGTTAATCCATGCACTCTGCACACTGCAAGCTCAGACTGAAACCTTGTCTGCTGTTTGTAAGAATGGCCACGTGGGCTCAGATGAAGAGTTCTTCTGCTGGAGCATCCTTCTTCAGCAGTGGCCATAAGCAGATGTCATGGGAAGCTTAAGAACTGGGCAAGCACATCTCATGCTTCCCCTGAATGCTTTTTGAAGCTTTGTCTTCTCCAGCTCTGGGATTTTACTGAGCCTTGTGCCTGCATAGTAACTCTTGGTAGATTCATCTTCTGAATGCTTGCTCAGACTCTCTGAACCCACCTAGACATGGGTGAGGAGCATCCTTTGGTGTGGACTTCCACGTGTCCACTGCCTGTGGTATGAAGAATCTTTCCTATTTGTTTTGAACCTGACTCCTGCTACCTTCCTTTGGTGGCTTGTAGTTTTCAGAGTGGGAGATGGTGAACATTCCCTTGCTGTCCATCCTCCACAGTGTTCCTTTTAGATGCTGCTGCTATTGCAGCTCCAGTTTGGGGTTCTGTTCCTCTTCCTGCAGTGTATTTACTGGCCTACATTCGACTGCGTAACCTCTTCTTCCGGCTTCTTCCTGAGCATCCTGACCTGGAGCCCTTGATCTGGACCCTCTTCCAGCACACACTGCAAAATGAGTATGAACTGATGAGAGACAGGCACTTGGACCAGGTAATATTGACAAAAAAAGTGGTTTTAAAAGTCTTTTTTAAAGACTCTTCTAAGTAAAGTGTTCTGTATGCATCCTTTAGCCATTAAAAATTGTAATCTGAGGCTTTATTCTCTGTTGATCACTCAAAGGAGAAATTAATTTAGAGAGATAGAATGTTGTCTCAAAGTATATCTTCAAATCCTATTTGTGCCAGGTCATGAACAAGAGAAGGAAGCTGTACCATCTACAGCCATTTTCAAAACAGTGAAGATTTTCTTTGAGAAGACAGTATGTGTGGTTGATCAATGTTTTGTTATTTAACCCTAAAATTGCAACATGGGAAATAGAGTTTGAGAAGTTATTATGAGCCCCAAGTAGCTGATTGTCATCAGCACTAGTTGATTTATAGTCTTGAAGTTCTGATGAAGTAGTTCCATGCTAGTTTACAGAGCACAATCAGTAACAGGAAGCTCAGAAATTTATTTCTTTAACATGAAATGAAGAAGCTGAATTAATTTTCTGTATTTCCAGTTGCTTTTCTTTTGTTTCTTTAATAGATCATGATGTGTTCCATGTATGGCATATGCAAAGTAAAGAATATAGATCTTAGATTTAAAACAATAGTGTCAGCATACAAGGAGCTTCCCAACACAAATCAAGAGGTATGGAAACTCTTTAATGCTATCCTCCCATAAAAATGTCATAAACTAATTGTTTCTGTTCATCTAAAATAAAAAAAACCTACCCTGCAGTTAACATACAAAAGATTCCTGCTTTACTGCACCTCCATTTTGTGGAGGAGAAAACTGCTTCTAATACTACTGGTCTCTTTAAACATCCTGCACAACTAGTCTGGTAACTCCTCAGAAAGCAAATTTCACTCTGCTTCTTTACTTAAAGATACTAAACACCAGGTGATGAAACTGATGTTTTGTGAGATGTTTGGGTGAGGTTTGGAGACCTGATGAAAGATCCAGATGCATTGCTAGGAGGATTTTCAAACACAAAGGCAGTTCTTTTAAAAAATGTCCTAACTTCCATTGAATGTCAAAGGGAAGATGAGCAGATGTTCTTTATAAGCTTTCACAGAAATATGGTTAGCTGCATGGTTATAAATATCAAATAAATAGGTATGTATTAAAGTTGCAGGCTTAGTTCTATGATTAAGAAGTTCCTTTCTTCCTTACTCTCAATTCTTTTGTCTTTCAGTTCTTATTGTACTTAAATTTTTGCACAAAATGATAATTCAATAGAAAAATCCAACAACCAAACAGTTAATGGGCCTGTAGACAGGCTTTGATTAGCAGAATTTCTCAGAGTGTATTTGTGCATCTTGTCTAAACTCCAGACTTTTGTCTCTAAGCCTAAAGAAATATTTTCATCAGGTCAGTAATGACTTTTTTTTCAGCCTGAAAGGTCAATAAATAGTGAAGACTGTGTGAATGGTGGTCATTAGTCAAAGGGAAAGTTGTCATTTTTTATTGCTGGGGTGTGTGTGTGTGTGTGTGTTGTGGTTTTTTTTTAATTGCATGATTTTCTCACCCTGTGTAGACTTTCAAACGTGTTCTTATCAGGGAAGAGCAGTATGACTCCATTATAGTCTTCTACAACTTGGTGTTCATGCAGAAGCTGAAAACAAACATTCTGCAGTATGCCTCCAACAGGGTGAGCTCTTTGTTGTGTTCCATATAAGCTATTTAATAGAACAGGAATACCTAAACAATAAAACCTTGTCACTGTTGTGCTTACAGCCCCCCACTCTGTCACCCATCCCACACATTCCTCGCAGCCCATACCAGTTTTCCAACTCCCCTCGGCGTGTCCCTGCTGGCAACAACATCTACATCTCACCCCTGAAGAGCCCATACAAGTTCTCTGATGGCTTCCAGTCACCCACAAAGATGACTCCCAGGTCTAGGTGGGTTGTGGACAAGCATTTCTTTGAACAAAATAAAGGTATTTGGGGGATTTCAGTGGAAGCAGATGAGAAAAGGGCACAGTCCAGTTCGTTCACAGTCTGTGGTGGTTTTATCTTTCCTAGGTAAAAGTTTGTGTCCTGTATTTGGAATATTTTTCCATCTTTGAGCACTTTTCTGTTTCATTTGAGTCAGTGTGCTCAAAGAGTTGGGAGTTTTTTTCTTTTTCTGTTCAGGGTGGTTTTTAATTTTTGAGTAGCCACATCTAGGGAGGGATTTTCTGACCTATTTGCTGAAGTGTTGTTGGCTTCACACTCCTGAAAAACATGGGCGAGCTTTGTACACTTCTTCAAAGAGAAAGTAATTTTTTAGAACAAAAATGGTTCAGAGTATCTAGTTGACAGAGCAGAACATTTCAAACCATGGGTCACCAGCTCTGCAGGTGAGGACAGCAGCAACCATGGAAGTCTCCAGTGGGATTTTCAAGCTAGGATCAAGTGGATCCCATTGCAGCTGGCCCCCTGTGAGCAGAAGCTACATTACTGCAGTGTATTTTAGGTTGAAGTCCTTCATGGTTTTGATTACCAAACACCTAAAGGTGGTGATGGAAGGACAATTGTCTGGGTACAGAGCAGTGAGGTGTCTTCTGCTGAGCAGGGACAGGCTGGGGGGCCTCTGAGTCTTTCCAGCCAGTGTCTTTGCTGTGAGTTACAGCTGAGTCAGCGATTCAGGGTTATCTCAAATAGAAACTTGAGTGGTCTCACCACAGCAAAGCGTGGGGTGGGTGAATGCAGAGAGGAGGAGGAGACTTGGTTAGTGCTTTATGCTACTGAGTGCAAATTAGTGGTTGCTTCTGTCATGGTTTCCTGTGGCTTCATCTCAAATGCTTCTCTTCTTCATTTGGCAGAATTTTGGTGTCAATCGGTGAATCATTTGGGGTGAGTTTAAGCGTTTTTAATGTCTGCTCTTGAATGCATGTGACTTTTGGAGGAATGGGGTAGCCTGACACCTCTCAGAAGAGCTTCTGAGTGCCTCTAATTGAACATAGTGTTTTAGGGAATCTGTAGGCACAAGGATAAGGGGGTGTTCCCCTAACTCCTCTCAGATATCCAGCCTGCACTCTTAAAGCGCTTTGCCTTTTATTTCCGCTGCTTTGACAGAAGGTCAGAGTCCTTCAACTGCAGAGCTTCAGAACTCATATTTTTAGTGGGTAATCTGAAAAGTCAGGATCTATGGCCAGTCCTTTCTGTGTTCAGGCTTCTGAGAAGTTCCAGAAGATAAACCAGATGGTGTGCAGCAGCGAGGGGCCGCTGAAGCGCAGCGCGGAAGGAGGCGCCGCCCCGAAGCCGCTGAAGAGGCTGCGCTTCGACATCGAGGGGCAGGACGAGGCTGATGGAAGGTGAGAGACTGGCCTGGACTTCCTCTAATATTACCTGGGTGTGGTTCTCAGGGCCATCCAGCCCAACTCCTCTTCATCTGTGAACTTTAATACATGAAACGAGAGGGGGTGGAGTCACACTCCTCAGTTTGGTGCAGAAGGGAGGATTTCTCCCGTGCCTGCACAGCCAGCTCCCTGCTGTCCCTGCTGGAGGCTAAACCATGTTGTTGTCTTTAGTCTTAAAAAAGCAAACCCCAAATTTTCAGTCATAGGAGAAATCAAGCAACTCTTGAGTTCAGTGTGGATTAAAAAAAGAGTTTATATCTTTATAGGGAAGGTGATGGCCCTGAAATGAGCTGACCTTTATTTCAAGTTGGGTTATGAGGATAAAAAGTTGGGTGTTTTAACTTCCACTTAATGATATGCTTTCTATCTGCAGCAAACACCTACCCCAGGAGTCCAAGTTCCAACAAAAGCTTGCAGAAATGAGTGAGTATTATTTTTCTGATGAGCTGCACAGCAGTGAGTGCCTTGGATAAAACAGTTCAGACCCACTCAGATGAAAACCTTGCTCAGCACTGAGGTCACCTGGATAACTGGCTGAGGTTTTGTACTCGCCTCCATTTAATCTTGAAAATGCAGATCATGAAATGGAAATACTCCAAAGCCTTCCTGAAGGTGTTCAGTGGCACAGCAGCTTGGAAGGTGCTGTATTAAGTGTAAATAAGGAAATGAGTGGGACACATTCTTCCTAAACACTCTTGAAATGGACTGAAATGCTTCCCAAGGCTTTCCCCTGTGCTCCAGTGACAGACCCTCAGCTGAGAGCTCACAGGCAGAAATCAGCAGCAACTGCAGCAGCATTCAGTTGACCAGAACACCTTTTTTTAGGCTATTACTGTATAATAAAGGAAAACTGTGTACAGGAAAATTTTAAGTAATTTTGTATGATACTATAATGCCTGAGATGACTTTGTCTCTACTGTGGATTGGCATTTCTCTCAGGTTTTATGGGATTGCTTCTCTCAAACCAAACTCAACCCCAGCTCATGAAAAGCAAACCAGCCCCAAATCCAAAGAGATTCCAAAGGAAGCATTTGATTTCACTCTGCTCTTCTCCTTTTGTTTCTAGCATCTACTCGAACCAGGATGCAGAAGCAGAAGCTGAACGATGGAAACGATACCTCAGGCAGTGAAGAGAAGTGAGATTCTCCTCAGGAGCAGGGGCTGCTCTGCAGGCCCCCTGAGCTTGTTTTTATTTTACAGTCCTTATTAACAGAGTTGCTTTTTTTAGTTGCTTTTTATTCCCAACTGCTAGTTGAAAGCATTTGGACTTTTAAAAGTTTTTCATTCTATTTTTGCCTTACAATGTAGGATATATACAATGTAAGCCACTGAATTTAATTTATATATTTTTTTAGGATTTTAAAAGCAGACTTGGAAGATGTCTTAAGTTTCCTATTGCAGGGTGACTGACTAAAGCCAGTCCAGTCTCCTTGGACTGGATTTTTCTGAGGACAAAATGTTAGCGAGACTGATTTGAAATGCACTAAATTTGTTTCTTAGAATTGGTTTTTTAGATTTTCAGTCCTTGCAAATTTTGAAAATGGGGGGCCAGACACTGCAAAGATTTCTGTCTCTGTATAGAATTAGCGCATCAAATTCCCCTCAAACTGCACAGCTCAGAGCTGGCAGAGACCTGGGGCCTCAGGCTCCAAGTACAGCCTGAAGTCAGAGTGGACTCATGATGTAGCTGCTCCTGAAACTAGGATTTAGGATTTTGTAGTTGTCCTATCCCAGTGTTCATTCAGAGGGCAGTCACACTGCCCCTCTCTTTGGGGTCCATGCAGTTTGAATCCCACAGGGAATCTTCCCAGAAGATGGAGCTTCTTCCTCTATGCAGAGCACTTGACGTGCACTTTCTTATCTTGGAAAAAAATCTCAATTATTGAAGAAGAAAGAATCCCAAACTTAAATCCCATCTAAGGGATAGACACTGACTGAGATCCTGGAACTCTTCCTGCAGCAACAGTGCCAAACTGGTGAAACAGCCAGTTCAGGAAAGCACACGCTGGACTCCCAGTGGATTAAAATACCAGTAAATAAATGAAGTCTGGCTTTAAAGTTACCTATTTTTATGAACTGTAGCTTTTGCAGCAACTGAAAGCCAAGCAGCTGTGGTAGGAGAGCAGTGCTACTCGTGACCCAGGCTCCTGTTTTAAAAGGGCTCCTGTGGGCAGCTGCTTCAGAAATAGCTGAGTTACTCCTGCAGTGCTCACGGGGGCAGAGTTTAAAGGTGGGTTCTGGTGTTGAACAAAGCTAATCCTAGAGCTACTAAACTTCCTACTAACAGCACCACGACAGGTCAGTGGATTCTGAACCAATCTGAGTTGGTTTTTTTAGTCTCTGTGTGGCTTCAGCTTCCTTCCTGAAAAACGTACAGGAGTGTGAAGAGCCCCTGAGGTTTATTCTGTGGTGTTTGGCAGAGTTCTGCAGGCAGGTTGGGTGTTGGCAGCAGGGCACACTGACCATGAGCTGCTGAAGTTCTTCTGTGACCCTTTGGCTAGAGGGGGCACGACAGAGCCCAGCACCTGAGCAGAGTTATTCTTTCTTTAGGGGGGCAGTGTATTCTTTTCTTCCAACAGACTGAAGTCTTTACATCAAATTTATTATAATATTTTATACAACTAAACAGTTTCATTTCAAGATAAATAAAATAGCTTTTAAAAGATTTAGAGTTGGGATTTTTTTTGTTAGCTGAGGTGACTTGAGGCACCTGTTCCTTTACTCGTGGAGCTGCTGAGACCAGCCCAGGATGTCAATCTCTTGGTTTTTTTCTACACTACTAACCAGATTTTAACATCAACTCAGTTTACAAGTGTCAGACTTTCTTCACCTTTCCTGAAAAGAACGGAGGAAAAAAACCAACTCCCACTCATACTTTTTTTCAATCTGATGGTGTTTTTATTAATGGTCTGTTAAATCCAGTCCAGTTTATAAAGAAACAAAAACCAGAAACACAGTTTTATGTTTAGGCTGTAAACTTTCTACATCCTTAGGTGGTGGCCAAGGAGTCCAGTCTCTGTGGGGTAAATAAATAACTGCTTTGTTCTCCAGGGAGAGCCCATGGGAACTGCTCAGATGCTACAAAAACAGCATTTACCCAGATCCCAGGCCTTGTGAGAGAACTGGAGGTGGGGACTAGACAGCACTGCAGTGCTGGCTCTGAGCTTCAGAGGAGCTTTCACTCATCTCACCCCTCTCATGTCTTCTCCTTTCAAATTCCATGTGATGCAGAAAGTTGCCCACCTGCTTTCCTCTTTATTTAAACCCCAGATAGAGTTTAACTCTTGACCTTTCCTTTCACCTTTTAACAAATACTTTGTGGTAACCTAGAACAGAACAACGCTCACGTACTTAAACACTTTAAAGTATTTTAATGAAGTATTTAAATAAACCACTTCACCTGCATGACCCACGGAGATGAGTTTGCTGCAGACCTATCATAGGGGCATCCCCAATTTCTTCTGAGGTGTGCCAGGAGCAGGTTTCAAACACTTCCTTATCGACAGGCATCCACCTTTAACCACCTCAGCCTGGCCAGGGTGCTGGTTTGAAACCAAGGAAAGTGCATGCAATGGAAGCTTCAAAACAATAAATAAGTCAGTGTCCCTCTGGCTGGAATGCTCCCGAGTCCAGGTCAGGTGCCAGCTCTGAGGCCTTGGCCTGAGTGCTGAGGGGCTGGCAGGGCAGGCCTGGCAGCAGGAGATGAGCCACTGCATTTCCAGTCAGAGGCTGAGGCAAATGCCCCACACACACAGGTCATTTTTTTACCACAATTTGCTTCTGGCCCCTTTTCCCAAGTAATTGCCAGTGTCTGCAGGCCTCAGCCTCCCCCTCCCACTGCAGGGAGCAGCCACCACCTGCTGCTGCTCACCTTCCTCCCAAGGAAGAGCTTCTCCTTCTCCTCCTCCTCCTTCTCCTCCTCCTCAAGGGCCGTGGCTCTTGGAGACCTGATCTTCCAGTGCAATAAAGGACAGTTAATTCCACTTCAGACAGGAGGAAACGAGGCCGTGGTCATTTGGGGAATTGGGTGATTAGGAACTACATCTGAGGATGAGGGAAGGTCCTCGTTGGGCTCTGTGGCACAGCAAGGCTCTGAGGGAAGGTCACACAGCTACATCTATTCCTGTACTGAGCCTGCTCACCCCCCTTCTTGCCTTCTCCGTGTGTAAAATGCTGCAAAAGGCACTTGGAGCCACTTCACCCAGACAAAAAATTGAAGAGAAGTAATTTCTCAGGGTTAAGTCACAGCTGCCTATTAGAATATCCAAGTAAATGCTTAATGAGCTCAGCATTTAATGAGCTCAGCATCTTCTGTGATGGGGCAAACCACCCTCTGTGCAACACTGGGTGCTGTTCAGTCAGAATTGAAGCATCTGCTGTGCCTTAGCCATGGCCAGTGAGGAGGGGGAGGAGCACACCCAGAGGGCAACTCCTCCCACCCTACAACAGGCTTGTGAGGTCAGTGATAAGTCACCTCCCAGCACTGGCCAAAGAAGAACCTGGAACAATGGCTTTGGGCAAGGTGTCCTTCACTGCCACGTGGAAAATCATGTGTTCCACTCGTGGGATTTCAGTGTGAGACCCATTTTTCTCACTTCAAAACTGTCCTTTTCTCCATTTTCCTTAAGATGATCTACCCGAGGGTAGACATGGATAGTAAGATGGGAATAAACAAATCTCAGGTGGAACTCTGGAGTGCTGGGGTTAAACCCCCAGCCTGGAGTAAGAGTTGGCCTATGGAGATGATGGCCACAGCCAGGCAAGAGATCCCCTCCTGACTGGTTTTCCCCCAGGGCCTGGCCAGCCTTGGGTGGGACCTGATGAGGAGGACATAGCCTCCTACCACTCAGAAAACATCTCATCCTAAAGAATTTCTTACTTTATAACAGGTTTGGAGAAACAAGTCTGTATCTTCACTGGGTGATCAGCCCAGCAGGAAGCCCACTATGGCAAAACAAAGTATAAAATTATATCCTGGGGAAGTTTTAGCAGCAAACAAGTCACAGGCCCATAACATGCAAATGGGAACAAACAAACCAACAAACAAAAAAACCCCATCTGGACAAGAGAAGAATCACTTGGTGATTGGACACAGTAGTTCCTGCATGAGATCTCTGTGGTTAGAGCCTCCCTGCTGCAGTGACCTCTCACCACCTCCACAAGACCTGCAGCTGAGGTGACTTCTGCACGTCCCCTAAATGGATGGGCACCAGATCTTTCCTTCCAGACCTCTGCACCTTCTGACCATGGGCAAGCTCCCCCCAGGAGGTGTCTCCAGGAGGGAAGAGGAGCTGCTCTCCAGCTTGGGGGTGGGCAGAGCTCAGTTTCGGAACGCTCCCACTCTGCTTGCTTTGCTAATGAAGTTCTTCAGGAGGTCGTGGTCCATTTCTGCAAAGCCTTGAGTTTGTGTAACGACAGTTAAATGGTTGATGCAAAATCTGAAGCAAAATTCTTCCAGGTCCTAGGAATAAACGGAGATAATCTGTAATCTGAATGACTGGCAGCAGAATTAGCAGTTTTCTCTCTCAAATCTACCAGGCTGTCCATCTTACCAATGCCTCCTCTGATCAGTTTGATTACATCCCAAATGGTAGCATGAAATTTGTTCAAACTGTTCAATAAACCCCCTCTGAGAAAACAGAAGCAGCTGCCTAAATGGACTCTAGAACTGCACCACATTTACTGAGATCATTAGAAAAGTTACTGAATAATTCCAATAGCACTGAGATTTTGATGTGCTAGAGCTGGAGCCAGCAGCAAGGCAAGTCTGAACTGACAGCACAACCCACCCCCTACAAACTCTTCCAGGGTCACAGCAAAAAGAGGCCTCTTAACCCAGTTTTATTCTAACTCACTCCACAAACACTGCAGGTAGGGCTTAACAGTAGGAAGAAATTCAGCAGAATCTCTCTGCACTTCCCTTTGAAACCTTTTCCATAGAATCCTTTAGGTTGGAAGAGAGCTCCAAGATCATCCAGTCCAACCATCAAGCCAACACTCCTGAGTCCTCTGCTAAAACAGAATCAGAATCTGTCAGGGCTGGAAGGGACCCCAAGGATCCCCCAGTTCCAACCCCCCTGCCATGAGCAGGGACACCTCCCACTAGATCAGGCTGCCCAGAGTTAATTTGATGTGTTAATGGCAGGTGACACAGCACTGCAGCCTTTCTCTTGCAGTGTCCACATTTAAAGACAAAAAAAATTGAATTCTGTCTTTTCAACTCTCCCAAACATGAGGCCTCTTCCATAACCCTTCTCTGGACAGTTTTCTGCTGAAGGGTTGATGTGCTGCACGTGCCTCTCAAGCCAGAAGATGCTGGCCTGCTGGAGCACTCCTCAGGGGCCATCCCCTGCTACCCAGGGCAGGGAATGAGCTCACCACCCTGTTCCAGCACTGCAGGATCTCAGAGAACACCAGCTACCCAGAGCAGAGCACTGATCAGGGCAGGAGGAGGAGGAGAAGCTGTATTTAGTCACCCAGCCAATCCCTTTTATGGTGTTTCAGCCATTATAAACTCCAGTACTTTGTCCAGGCTGGGTTTACTGCTTCACAATACCCCTAAGTTTCACCTGGCAGTGGTTAACTGAAGGTAGTCCTGCTTTGAAGAGGTTCAAAACTGCTGAAAAACTGGTAACAGCTTCAGTCTGTTCCTTCTGCTTGTCTCCTCTACCTGGAACTTTATCAATCCCCTTCCTTTAAAACTTCATTCAACATTTCACAGTCAGGCAAAAGCAAAAAAAAAAGTGGTTTTACTAAACACTGTTACCAGCTACATATTTTGGCTCTCCTGATAGTCATCTGTTTGGCTCTATTAATTTTATCCTTGCAAAGCAGGAGAAATCTTGAGGTCTCCTCAGCTAAGATGCTCAGTTATGACAACAGCTAAGTCTAAAACCCATACACAGAATCCTTGATCACCACATGGTTATTTCCCCAAGCAGCACAGCAAACAGAAGTTGACCAAAGGAAAATAGCTTTATAACTATTTGTTTACAAGGGAAAAAAGTGCTTGCAGTGCTGCTGATAACAGCTTGAGTGCTGCTGAAACATTCCAGAGCAAGGGCAGAGCAGAGGACAGGATGTGGGGAGGGGAAGAACAATGGGTAATTTGTTGTATGTCAGCTCCAGGCACTGTAAACAACGTGGCAAAAGTGGGTTTGGGGTTTTTTTTAAATATAAGCACAAGTGTAAATAGGGAGAGACTGACAGGTGAATTCTCCCACTGCCTGTAGGACTGCCCCACACTCAGCAGGCAGACTGGGTGGAGAGCTCTGGGAAAAACCAGGAGACTCCAGAGGTGGAGGAGTACATGGCAGGACAACTGCATCCCATGCCCTGCCAGATGCCAGGGCAGGAAGCAGGTTAGGAATCCTGACTCCCAGGTGCAAGCCCAAGGCCAGGAAGAAAACACCAGTAGCTGTGGGGATTTTATAGCTTAGAGAGAGGAAAACAAAGGCCTGGGAAGCCAGGGGGGGAAATGGCAGCAATCCTGCCTCCTCAGTTAAACCCAGCTATGCTTATATTAAAGGGTTTCACTTCCCAGAAGTCTAGTTCTCCTTACCTGGGCTTCATACTTGACAGCAGCAGAGAGGAGAGCAATGGCATTCTCCTCACAGATGCCTTGTTTGATGGTTTGCTGGCAGAGCTTTTTCAGCCTGTTTTCTCTGTACAGTGTTGCCAGGTCCAGCAGCCCTGTGAAAAGCACACAGCATGAACTCTTCTGCCACAAACCCTGCTCATTTCTTTTCCAATCAATCAACTGCCAACTACTTTCAGGCTGAATTAATCAGAGACTTGATTTTTTTCCCCTAGATGATGTGTGCCTTTTTAAAGGTGTTAGGAGACCTACCCAAAAGGGCCCCTTCTATTACTCCACAGGCATTCTGTTCTCTTGGTCACTGCATTGTATCTCATTCTGGGCATCACTTAGTGCCTTACACCCTCCTAAATCCACGTGGGGAACAGCTCCCTTTGCACTCGTGCTCAAATCACCACAGCCACTCCAGGCAGAAAAGCTTTAGGGTGGTGTTAGTGCTTTTTGAAGGGTAAAGAAGTTCTTCCTTTGAGAAGTGAACTCTTTTTGAGCATTTTGCACCTTGGCTCCTCTTGCATCCCCAGGGCACGTGTCCTGCTACTGCACCCCTTCTTCCTGACCCCTGCCAAACTCAGGATTGAGGTGGAATAAAGCTAAAACTCCTCAGCCTGCCATGACACACAATGCAACTTTTCAGCCACAGTACTGCAGAGTTCTCCCCATTCATGCCCAATACCTATTGCCTCTTCAGGAGGGAGCCTGATGCTGTCTGTGTACAGGTACTCCAGGAAGGCTCGGTACACAGGGTAAGAAAATTCACTCATCTCTATAATCTCATCATCTTTATTCAGGATGGAACGAAAATGTTCACACCTACAAAACAGGGACAGAAGGTCTAGAATGGAAAGAGTTAAAGCTTCGAAGATGAGCAGCAGCAAGAAGCTGGCAAAAAAAACACCCAAATAATTAAAAATCAGTCATAACAGGCTAAATACACCCCCATGAACTCTGGCCAGGTGATTTCTGGGTTTGAACATGTTGATTTATTTAGGTGTTAGAAGCCTGACACACAGAAGTCAGAGTTTTCCTTTATTCCTGTTATGGCAGACTCCATTTCTACTGACAGGATCTTTAAGGAGGGTCCATGATGCCATCTTCTCAACCACATTATACATTAAACAGCAATGTTATTGCCTGGCTTGTAGCAGACAAAGTTTACAGTTGTTAGTTCTCACCTTTCAACCTGCTTTCTCCAACATGATGTAGTGAGGAAGGAATTTATCAATCTTTTAGATAACATTTGTTCCCATGTCAGAGTCCAGGTACAATTTAGTCTTAGATTTCATCATTATACTCCAAGATTGAAATATTTAAAGTGAAGACACCTGCACCCAGATCTTTCATCCCCTTTTTCTTAGGAGTCTGAATACTTTTCTGACAGACAAGCAAGGAAAAAGCACTGCCTTTGATAGCTGCAACTTCCACCTCACTTACTGCTCCCCAAAAAAACCCCATCCTGTAGCATTTTAATTTGTTTTCAAAATTTTTGTGGATGGGAGCACACATCATCACCTCAGGTAACTTCTCCTGCAACAGCCACGATTTAATCTGACTCTTATCCTGTACCACTTACTTTCTAACTCTTCCACTTCAGAATGTGTTTTTCTTTTACTAAAACTTTCATGTAAATGGTAGTTTAGTTTCCTCTGAAGGATGCTGGGAGAAGTCTACAGCATAAAGACAGCATCACTGAGAAACACATGGAAAAGCAGTCTTTATTTTCACTTCATTTATCTTTTTCACATCTGATTTTAGTTGTTATTTAAATATTTGTTTTCCTTAATTTTTTTTTTCTTAACTAAGAAAATATCAAGTCAGGTTCATAAAGAATTTAAAAGTCATGATCTTAAACTTCTGCTACATCTTGGACCACAGTCTGGCACTGGAAGAGGCTTCAACAACAGGCATAGAAAAAGATGGAAAAAATGTCTTCATTAGTAGTAAAGAAATGAGTGGCTGAAGAAAAGGAACTTTCACCAGCACTGCACTCATGAGAGCACTCTGGAACAGGCTGACTGCTGCAAAATGCCATGTTAAACATCACCCTCTGATCCAGCTGCAGTATGAGACTGAGGATTAGGGAAAATATTGATTCTACAGACTGTGCCTGATGCTTGTATATTATTCTGATAAGGGCATACATTAAAATCCATTCCTTCCCAGAATACCATATCATCTCAGAAAAGCAGAGCAAGAAAAAAGACATAAGAACAATGTACATCCAGTGTGAGTATCAGGAAAAGGAACCTCAGAAACATCTGGGGACTCCATGAGATTGGCAGCAGTACCTGCTGAAGGACACGTGGCACTCCAGAGAGGGGGGACTAGAGGTTGGAGTGTAATATTCAAGCAATGAAACTATCCAGTTCAGTTTATCTAAAACTACACACTTTGTGCCTTACCTGATTTTGAGAAGGACTTTATGAACATGAATGTATTTTCCATCCACTAGGAACTTCAGGTCTGCAGTTTCAGGGTTGTCAAATTCCTTCTTTAGTGACTGGGCTACAGTTAGGTGGTCATCAGGCTCTAGAGTCAAAGGGGGAATGGACAGTAAGTAAAACAAGTCCCTCTCATGATAACATCCTGGCTATCTGTCAGCAATTAATGCTCTTAATAAATATCCCAACTCTTAAAGGCTAGTAAAAAAAGGCAGTAGACTGTGTGTTCAGTATGAACCCCCAGAAAAGCAAATAAAGGGCAGCTTCCTTCAGGCCTTACTAGTTTCCTACTCCAAACATATATCACTATTAAAAAAAAAATCACACTCTCCTAACTCATAAGGTGAGAAAAGAAAAATACTTAACAACAGTCACAGGAGTTTAATGCTGCATCTGATAGCAAATACTCCTGGGTGAATCATCCTAAATGAGAAGTGGTGGTGATCATAAGATATCCAAAAGGTCAATTAAAAAAAAAAAAACAAAACTCAGGAGATGATTTTCTAAAATACACTTGCATGAGGTTACCAGACAGCATTAAAAAGTCATCTATTGGCTGTGTATGAAGTTTTGTCTCCTGAACTGTTTTTTTCCAAACCTCCATCATATTTGGTAGCCTCAGAGAATGATCTTTAATACTACTGGAAAAATTACACCCACCCACCCCCCAAACCTCATTCTTAACCCAGAAACCATTCTGTCTTCTTACCATATAAACAGACATTATTGGCATATACAAATTTTGTGGGTCAGTAATAAGCTCTTCTCTACAGAAAATTACCTAAATGCTGGGTGCTGTAACCTACCCAGCTAGGAATAATAACAGTATTCTGCTGAAAAGGGAAAGACCTTCACCACAAGCCCTAGAAAAAAAACCCTTAACACACAGCTTGATACTGCAGCAATTTGTTTAGTACAATTAATTTTAATTTCACTTAGAGGATGTCACTTCAGGTGTACCCAGTTAGGGCAATAATTATTGCAGTGTGTTGGCTTACAGGGGAAAGGATTAGGGGTGGGGAGAAAGCCAATGTAATGTTAATAAAATCTTGATACTGTTTGGGTTGGGAGGGACTTTTAAAGGTCACCTAGTCCAACCCCCTGCAGGGAGCAGGGACAGTTTTAACCAGATCAGGCTGCTCAGAGCCCCATCTGACATCACCTGGAATGGTTCCAGGGATGGGGCATCTACCACCTCTCTGGGCAGCCTGGGCCAGTGTTTCACCACCTCAGTCTAAGACATTTCTTCCTTCTATCTAGTCTAAATCTGCCCTGCTTTAGGTTAAAACCATTACCCCTTGTCCTCTTGCAACAGGCCCTGCTCAGAAGACTGTCCCTAACTTTCTTATAGCCCCTCTTTAAATACTGAAAGGCCACAAGGTGTCCCTGGAGCCT